TTCCTTCACTGCGGTAGTTTGCTTCCCATTAGGAAGTTCAACCGGACACGGCGTAATATTCCGGACTTCAATCAACAAATTAATGTCTCCAGTCATATGGTGCGACTCCCCGGAATCAATTATCCAATCCAGTAAAACTTTTCTTACTGGAAAGTTTTTCACCAGATTTATGTGAATTCAGAATATTGAGAAGGGTTGTCCATTGATCTCCGCTCAGCCTCGGAAACCCGCTGCGGTCATGATCATTTGTGCTTCCAACTTTCTATCCTCCACTCTCACTTCCCGCTGCTTGGGCAGCGTTTGCTCTTGCCTTGTTTCCTCGTCCTCGTCCGCCCGAACCACTTCGCCCGTGGCCTCCTCCTTTCCCGGTTGAGTGTGGTCTATCTCCCCACCATTCCGGATATCCAATCACCTGGAAACAATCCTTTGCTTCATGTCCGGATTTTCCACAGTGTGTACAGCTCACGCTTTTATCCTTTGTACGTGCAATAGCTGCTTTTGCACCAGCATGTACTGCAAAACCCACAGCATCATTTCGTTCTTCTTTGCTCTTGGCTATACTTTGATGCCTTTCCTCTTGAATGACCATTGCATAGACGCGGTTTAAATTTGGCAACGTCTCTATGCTCAAAATATTCGAACGTACGGTGCCATAAGTTGCGTCGTCAAGACCCATCAAGAACTGATGTACCCTCTCTTCTTCTCGCTTCTTTTCAAGTATGGTCGCAATTTTGAAGTTGCAACCGCTACAGCGACACGCGGGTACTGGATCATATTTTGCCAGCTCGTTCCACATTACCTTCAGCTTCCCATAGTAAGCCATCACTGCTTGTCCCTGTTGTTTACAAGCGACCAAATCAGCCTTCAATTGATGAACTCGCGGTCCATTCCCGATAGAGAATCTCTGTCGCAGATCCTCCCACAAGTCTTTCACACTCTCCGTATATGATATAGTGGTTCGCAAGGTTGGTTCGATTGTGTTGAAAATCCATGCAACCAGCATTGAATTTACCATCCACCAATCTTCGATATCGGTCGAATCATCTATTGGTTTATCCAACTTTCTGTCAATGAACCCGAGCTTTCTCTTTGCTCTGAGGGCGTTCCTCATAAATCTCGCCCACTCCTCATAGTTCTCACCTTTCAATTGGACAGGTGAAATGATCATTCCAGGGTTGTCAGACGGGTACAAGTAGTATGGCGAGAAGATGACCATGTCCCTCCCTACACCTTTCCTGCTGTCTTCTTCTCCACCGGTCATGGTGGAAAAACTGTTGACAGAAAGCTCCTGGCCACGGTAGGCGAGTCTGGAATCGTCCAAGTCTTTGATCTCAAGGAACAAATTCCCCTGTGTCAGCTGCGCGGCCACTCTCACTCAGTCCGACTCGTTCGGTACCCCGGACTGGGTAACCTCTATTTGTTCTCAGGTGTGGCGATGATACCCTCGTCAAGTTCTGGGATTGCCGCGGTCGGGCTCGTCTTCAATGGTTTTTGGCACCAGGATTCTTCTGCACGCCTTGATAACCAACACTGCGTCCGATGGGGGTTGCTTCGCCCAGGAAGAGTGCAGCACATAGTTACGGGTGCGCCACTGCTCTGTTTTCGTTTGTCAACAGAGGAACGACGACAAACCTTCCTCTTCTATTTCTCGAAGCACCCTGGCTCTGATACCATGAAAACTTTACGGAAATTCTTCTTCTTTCTCTTCCCTTATTTTGAAAGGTACATCCCTATATATACAAATAGGAGCCTCACTTTCACTAGGAGTTGATTGTTCAAATACATCTAAGAATGCATTTCGGTAGAAAGGTTACGTGCAGATCTGGTTTCCCAATAATTGAGATCGTAAAGTATATTCCTGAGTTTCTGTCGCTCGGTGGACAGCCCTGGGATCTCAGGATGCTTTTTGGCTACCTCCTCCAAGTCTTGAAATCTAGATTTGATGGGAATTCTGGTTTGTGCGAACTCTGCAAGATTCCTTAAAATCTTGATCCTAAGAAATACTGCAATTTAATCTTCCATTTGAACTGGTTTCGATGGTTGAGGAACCTTCATCAAACAAGGGTTGTTAAAAAGAGGAACGAGAAGAAACTGAGGGAATTTACATAGCTTTAATCCTTTAACTATAGATTTTGGGGGACAATGAAGAAGAGGGTTTGTCTTGTTCTTTGTTGTGGTCTACACAATAAATTATAGGATAAAATACAAAAAACAGAGGGATCTCAGTTGATTGTAGCTAAGATCAAGTGTTTGAAGGCTCCGAAGCTCCGCAAGCTTGGCTGGAATCTCCCCGGATATGAAGTTACGGCTAATGGAGAGAAACTGGAGGTTCTTCAACTGTGAAGCATGATCGGCTAACGCTGAAAGTTTACCGATTGCAGGATCAAGACAACCGGTTAGGCGAGGAGAACCAGCTCTAGGATCACCTAGGTTCAATGCGATGACCTTGTCGGCTTCACAGTACACAACGGCGAAGTTGCACGGGTTGGAGATGAAGTCACAGGAGGAGAAGAAATTCGAGTCTGGCATGTCGTTGAGGGCTTTCCGAATCGACTGCAGGGCCAAGAAATCGAGAGGGTGTAACATGGAGAGCAGAGACTGTAGAGAGAGAAGAGATAAGAGAAACCCAGGGGGGCAGGGAACTCTGGTTTGACGAGAAGGGTCTTAACGGTTTTAAAGAGGAAGGGATGACCTTTTCTGCTACTTCATAGAGACTCCATGAACACTTTAATGGCGAAGCAGTTGATGAACAGTGTGCGTCTTGACGAAGAAGATGAACGAGCGTTGAGACAGGGTTATTTTAGTAAAAATAAATGCACAGTAGTTTATAAAAAGATAAAATAGGTATTTTGAAAAATATCATTTCTTTAATGTTTTTTGTCTTGATCATTGACGGGAGGTATTTATTGAAATTTTCAAAAATAGAAGGAAAGTTCTTGTTAAATTGAAACTATAAGAAAGATTTTT